TCTGGCCTCTTGGTAGGCTGTACCAGCAAAATGGTGTGAGACTGCAGGGGGAAAAGTGATTTCAACATAAATTTCCAACTCATATTTGAGAAATTCATAGTATGATGTAAAATCCTCAGCCATGACACAATGACCACTGGTTATTAAAACATTATTAATTAGGGTGCTCGTCCTACATTTATGCCTTTGTGCAAGCGTGGTGTCAGAAGGTGGACTGCCAGCTTCTCCCTAAGGTCTCTTCTCTGTAAGGTCTCCAAGTCCTTAAAGGCTGCTTTCTCCAACTGCTGGACCTACTGCATGTAAGCATTCAGCATAAACTACGTTGTACTGTTTTTTTCTTTCCTATCATTCTCCCCAACCAGATCATAAACACACTTAGTTTTCTATCTCTACTGGTCACTTTCTATCTCTAGCCTTATTAAGTCTCTTAATAAAAACTCAGATGGGAGTGCCTGGGTGGCTCAGTGGGTTAAAGCCTCTGCTTTCGGCTCAGGTCATGATCCCAGGGTCCTGGGATCAAGCCCCGCATTGGGCTCTCTGCTTGGCGGGGAGCCTGCTTCCTCCCCTCTCTCTCTGCCTGCCTCTCTGCCTACTTATGATCTCTCTCTGTCAAATAAATTAATAAAATCTTTAAAAAAAAATAAAAATAAAAAATAAAAACTCAGATGGAGGCTGATAAAAGTAGAAAAGGAGAAACACTATTATGACTGTAAGCACTGGATCTGATTTATGTTTTTTCCAACCTTGGCACAACAGTGGAGTTGTGGAGCCCTCTTAGCCAGGGCTTAGACTCCAGCGTGAAGGCAGAAGATAAATGGGCAGTATAAAATTAACAGAGTTAACATTACCCTAGAAAAACCATTAAACTATTCACCTAGTAGATGACTCACCTTAAGAGTCTCAAAACCACATTAAAAAAAAAAAAAAAAAAAAAAAGATTTTATTCCTTTATTTGACAGAGAACACAGCAGTGGTGAGCAGCAGGCAGAGGGAGAGGAAGAAGCAGGCCCACCGAGCAGGGAGCCCAACATGGGGCTCAATCCCAGGACCCTGGGATCATGACCTGAGCCAAAGACAGAGGCTTTAACCCACTGAGCCACCCAGGCGCCCCAAATCACATATTTTTAAACACTAGAATCATACGAAATAGATGACCACACTGTGATGACTGTGAATATGCCTCCAACAGCAGACAGACTTAACATCTTCCACCTCATCATGCTCAGTGGGGGGCACATTTTTGTCAGTGGGTCTATTTCACAGTTTCTCAATCTCTGCACTTTTACAATCTGGGCTTGAAGGGCTCCCCTTACAGAAGCAGAGTCCGGTGCATTGCAGGATGTTTAGAAGCATCCCTGGCTCATTCCCACTAAATACCGTAGCACTTGAACCCCCTGCTCCTTCCTGCACAAGACTGTGACAACCAAAAATGTCTCCAACTACTGGTCTATTGAAATTATGTCCCCTTCCAATCTTTTGCCAAGTGTGTAAGGTCAATTAATTAAATGCAAGTATGATGCAACCTCACTGTAAACACAATCCTCCAACTATTCATATTTTTCTCTTTTACTTTTTGGGGGTCCCAAAAATCCTTTATGGCAGGTCCCCCTAACTGTTCTGAAGTGATAAGAATTTTTAAGCATCAAGATACTGGAACTGAATAGTTGAGGCCCAGAGTTTCTGAATAAGCATCAAAAAAACCCAGTACTCTAAACACTATATAAAAAGCAAAGAAATTGTTCGTATTCCTCCCACCCCATCAAGAACCAACTCACTCTGATGAAAACTTTTTCCCCCCAAAGATTTTATTTATTTATTTGACAGAGAGAAAGTGACAGCGAGAGGGAATATAAGCAGAGGGAGAGGGAGAAGCAGGCTTCCCGAGGATCAGGGAACCCAATGTGGGGCTCAGTCCCAGGACACTGGAATCATGACCTGAGCTGAAGGCAGATGCTTAACGACTGAGCCACCAGGCGCCCCTGATGAAAAGTTTGAGAGGATGTGAGATAAAAATAGATGTTGGTGACAAGAGATGAAGGGTAATTTTCACCTATAATGACCTGAGCAGTCAAGGCCTTTGTTAAACAGGCATTATAAACCAGAGAAAGCATTTTATTGGATTGCTACACAGCATTTTTTCTAAGTCACCTACTCAAAAAACAGTAGTTATGATGGGGTCACATGTTGAGAAGAAAAAAATTTTTTTTTTAAAAGAATTTTTATTTATTTATTTAGTTGACAGAGAGATCACAAGTAGTCAGAGAGGCAGGCAGAGAGAGAGAGGAGGAAGCAGGCTCTCCGCAGAGCAGAGCCCGATGCGGGACTCAATCCCAGGACTCTGAGATCATGACCTGAGTCAAAGGCAGAGGCCTAACCCACTGAGCCACCCAGGCGCCCCGAGAAGAAAATAATTTTATAGAAACCACACTAGCATTCCGGCAGTATGGCTCTCGTTCTGTACATTAGCCACACCAGTTGCTACTATATTAACTTTGTTCTCATTCTAATGCAAATTGAGGGACTAATTTACTTAAAAGAGTAAAGATATGGAAATGGCTATTCACTACGCTAATTTTTACATCAAGTCTTAAAATGAACCTCCGACAAAGCTCAGTATTATCAATACTTACTACACAAAAATGAGGATTAAAAACTACTAAGAACAAAAAAAATGACTAAATTTACAAATCTGTAACCAAAACGAGTATTATTTTTAAGTGGCAGTGCTTTCTTATTAACATTTTAAGATCATAAAACTTCCCAAATCAGTTTTGATCACTTTCTTCTTTCTGGAGCTATTTTCGAAGCCATTTGGTTTTATTAAAAAACAAATACATATGCACAATATAAGTACATACAAGCATATACATATGTATTTAAATTTCTCACAATAGAAAAATAAAATTGCAAAACCTAAATCAGGAAGAGGTATACAGAATTACCTTAGCAAAATAAAGTGAATTACTTTAACGAATAATTTTGCGTTACTAACTTTTTAAAAAGTCTCACACACATGAACTCTAAGAATCATTCTACTGCTACAAAACAATACATACGATTTGCCCATAGCTTCAAATGCTTCTCCCAAACTACCAAAACAAAACAAAACAATAAAAACCAAAAAAACCCCTGCACCTAAAGTTTTTATTTTTAATAAAGCCAAAGGTATTTAAGACCATTGAGCCAGGGGTGCCTGGGTGACTCAGTGAGTTAAATCCTCTGCCTTCGGCTTGGGTCATGGTCTCAGGGTCCTGGGATCGAGCCCCACAAGGAGCCCCACACCGGGCTCTCTGCTCAACAGGAAGCCTGCTTCCCCCCTCTCTCTGCCTGTCTCTCTGCCTACTTGTGATCTCTCTGTCAAATAAATAAATAAATAAAATCTTAAAAAAAAAAAAGACCATTGAACCAATAATTATTTGTTTTATACACAAATCCTAATTTTTAATGCTACTTGGATTGAGAAGGAATTATCACTGATATTTGCCCAATAAGAATGGGTTATTAATTGCAGTCACTTCCTGAGATTTTAAGCATTATAACACAATACCAAATAGTGACATAAAAGGCAGGGAAAGAAGGAAACTCAGAGATGAAAACACATGTCCAAGGTCACATTGTTAGTTACGACAAAGAAGAACTGGAAACCCAGTCTCTTAATTCCTGGTGGTTCTCTGGGAAACCATGCTTGATCAAACACTGAAACGTCTCAATTCAGAAAAGTACAACCTCAAAAAGTTCCGTGCTAACAAAAGCTGTGTAACTTGTTAACAGTAACTGCAGCAATCAGAAAACGAAAGCTGAAGTGTGGAAGTAGCCATGATTCCTCATGATCCCTGTGGACCATCTCCTTTTTGGTGGAATATAATAAAAAATGCAAACAAAATACCCACTCGCTCCACTACCACCCCGATCAGATCTGAAGGAACCTGGAACCCTCAGCTAAGCCTATCTTTTCCGATCTCAGTCCCAAGAGAATGAGTACGAACAAGACTGAGGGCTGGGAGAAAGGCCAGATCAGGCATCTGGGGTCTTGGAAAAGAGAAAAATGCGTTACTTGTGTATTTAAAGGCAGAGCACAGAAAAGCAAAAGAGAGGAGTTGAGAAAGCACACACAAAGCAAAGACGATCCCTCCCGGCCCACACGCTGGGTGTAGTACACTCAATCTGTCAGCTCTGGGGACAGGTTTGTCAGATATCCCTCGGCCATTGTTCCCACACTGGGCCAGGGAGTATGGAGAGAAAGAGCAGCATCCCCACGCCTGCCTCTACCAAGGAGCAACTGGGACAAAGCGCATCCTCCACACCGCACCGCTCGCCGGAGCCCGCAGGCGGGCGCGCAAACGCAGGGCGGACCCGGGCTCCGGGGCCTAGTGCCAGGCCAAGCGTGTCCGCGGCGGGAAGGGGAAGGGTCCAGTCACAAACTGATGGGCCAGGGAGCTGCACGCTCGACCTGGATGGAGTGGGGAAAAGAAGTATAGGGTTGGGATCTCCCCAAAGGCCGGGGAATCGGGGAGCCGCTGAGGCCTTTCTCACCATCGCGCCAAACTCTCTCGCTGCAGCCGCTGCCGACACCGCCGCCGCACACGAGCTTAGCCGCAACGCCGCCAACAGCCAATCCCCGCGAGAGGAGCCGCCGGAAGTCGTCAGAAACGCACCGCGAAAGAGCCTTTTGGACCATAGAGGCGCATACATTTCCGGCAGCTAGAGCGGATACTGACTCTGTCTCAGCCATCTTGGATAAGGGCGATGAGCTACACAGGGAATTACTGCGCAACTTGAAAAAATATCTTTTCTTGTGAAGACACAGTCTATCATACTCTCGTTATCAGAAATACGGCTAAACAGAGCTATGGACTCTGACACCAAACATCTTGCATTAGCCCTACTCAAAAATGGCGGTAGCATAAGAATCCTGGGCCATAGGTCGGTTGTAACCCGGAAGTACTCTTCTAAAGGAGGGGGGCGGGGAAGCAATCCGGAAGTCGATGTAATGAAGAGGTGCCACTTGGCGGCCATGGCCGCTGTAGTATCCGTGGCTTTGGGTCAAGGCCCAGCGGAATGGAGTAATATGGGCAGCATCGGATATAGGGCAGAGACAGCTTTGTATCAGCTTCGCTGCTGAACCCCTGAGCCCATCGTTAGAGAGCTGCAGGACTCTTTCCTATTTTAGACTCGGAGGAGAGTTTCCCGGGACTGGTGGGCTGGTCCCAGCTTATGGGGGACTGCCCCAGGGACGTAGGGGCACAGGGAGAAAGAACAAGTTTGCTTGGATTTTCCTCCTTTTCCACCTGGGACGTTGTCTGTGGAGGGAGTGGACTGATTTTTCCACGATCCCGCGACTGAAGAAATCTCCCGCATACCTTTAACTGCTAACCGTAGGGAATCCAATGACTGGCCTTTGAAAACGCAGGGGCTGGGACCTGAGATTGCTGAAAGTTCTCTCTGGTGCTAAGATCAGCAAAAGGGGGCTATTTCCAGGTGCGTTCCAGAGAAAGGGGTTTCGTGAACACATCTGCTGGTGGGGAGGACGAAAGAACTGGCAAGTCCACTTGTTCTCTTGGAATCACCACACGCGTTTAAGGACCTCCGGACCCTTTGAAGCCACTGAAAATTTGTAGTCTGGTGGCTGTGGGTAAATAAAGGAGGACAGAATGGATGATTTCATCTCCATTAGTCTGCTGTCTCTGGCTATGTTGGTGGGATGTTACGTGGCTGGAATCGTTCCCTTGGCTGTTAATTTCTCTGAGGTAAGAAATTCTCAAATTTCTTTTTTTTTTTTTTAAGATTTTATTTATTTATTTGACAGAGATCACAAGTAGGCAGAGGGGCAGGCAGAGAGAGGAGGAAGCAGGCTCCCCGAGGAGCAGAGAGCCTGATGTGGGGCTCTATCCCAGGACTCCAGGATCATGAACTGAGCCGAAGGCAGAGGCTTCAACCCGCTGAGCAACCCAGGCGCCCCAAAATTCTCATTTCTGTCAGCTGTTAGGATGGCTGTTGGGAAGTAGTGACAGTTGTAAAGGGAAAATGCTTTCTCAATATCAGAGCTAAAAGTCTTGCTAAGGAAGGCTATCTTTAAAAGATGCATAGCTTTTCATAATAGAAACTAATCTCATTTTAAGCTCTAGAGTCCTTAACGTGGAGTGGGTGGATCCACTGACGATCCTGTGGTACTATGAACCTTGTGAAATTGCATACAAAAATTTAGGGCTCTGTGCGTTTTCCTGGAAAGAGGTACCATAACATTCTTTTGATTCCCAGAGGTTCCAAGGAATCGAGGTTCTGGATTGCTATCAAGAAACATAAATGGAGAATATTATTTGTCCATATGCGTAGAAATGAGTATAGCTCCTCTTTTTGAGAAAATGAAGCATAGTTTTTTGGGGGAAAGGTAGTTTTTTGGATTAGAATCCAAAAAAGCTTTCTGGGGATTTGAATTTTTTTTTTTTTTTTAAGATTTTATTTATTTGACAGATCACAAGTAGGCAGAGAGTCAGGCAGAGAGAGAGAGAGGAGGAAGCAGGCTCCCCACTTAGCAGAGAGCCCGATGTGGGGCTTGATCCCAGGACCCTGAGATCATGACCTGAGCTGAAGGCAGAGGCTTTAACCCACTGAGCCACCCAGGTGCCCTTGGTGATTTGAATTTTTTGTATTAGAATAAAGATAAGAAAAAAGCTAAATTAGATTGCTCCTAACTCACATTTCCTTTTAAGGAAGCATTGGAATGCATATTTGAAGTTGTTTCAAATCTTTGCTTAGAAATGAATTTTGTGTGAACGTGATTTGACATTTGTTCATTTTGTCATTTTGTTCATTTGTCATTACTTGAACAAACAATGAACAGACATTAACTAGTGGGGAGAAAAGATGAAAGCAGTGAAAATGCAGATAAGTTCTTCATAAAGACTTCATAGCATGCACAGTGCTCAAAAGATTTAGGGAGAAAAACTACAACATTTGGAGGGAACAGGATTTCATGAGTATCTTAGGGTTCTGCAGAAAAATAGGCCCAGTTTCACCACCATGAAAGAGCTTCATGAAAGAGCAAACTGGTAGTCCTACCAAAACAAGCCCACAGGCTTATTTTGTTAGAGTAAGTGGCAGAATATTCATTTTTATTATTGTTACTGATTTTTGTCTGCATTTTCTCAAGACAACAGTTGGCTAGAGCTGAGTAGCAGTAGATTGTCACAGTCCTCCTTGGATGTTAAAGCCTACTTCACTTATTTCGGCCACCTATCCAGTACTTTGTGAGCCTGCTTTATTTGGACATGAACTGTATTTTCTTATAACTGCATTAAAATTTAATTGACCTTATTGGGGCTGACATTTGTGAGATTTAAGTTGGTTTGTATATTTAAAAACTGATTGAGGTAACTTTGATCACAAATTATAACTGATTCAAATTAGAAATCAACAAACGTTTTATTTCTATAAAATGCTTAGAACTTTTCCAATTTCAGTGTTTTCTTGAACTATCTTGAGTGATTTTTGCAATATGGAGGTATCTGCTATATTCTTTTTCACTGAGAACAAAGCTAAACTTGTAAAGGAGGCCAAATATACATGCATGGTATAATTAACCAAGGCATTAATAAAGATAATCAGTATGACATGTCATTTATGGTTGTCTGAATTGATGGTCAAGCGATCTTTTCTATCTGTAGGCCTTAAAATGCTATAAATCACATTCAAAATATCTGTTATAACAGCAGGAACAGTGCATTTTGAGCTCTTAGAATAAAAATGGAAGTTATATATAATGTAGACATCAACTTGGAATTCAACCAATGTTTTCTTTCTTCTGGTAATTAAACATTTTTTCTAGCTAGATTATACTATTATTAATTAATGTAACATGAAACTAATGAGATGATTTTGTAAAAAGTAAACTTCATTCATGGGGGCTGCTGGGAAGCACAGTTTCTGCCTTTAGAACAGTTTCTACCCCAAGCTCCTCCATTGGCTAAACTACTTTACTTTTTAAGAAAATCTGGCTTTTCTTAGGGACTAGTGTTATTATAAATAAAGAGACCAATCTAATTTATTTTGCAGTTCACTTTCATGTATATGAAAAGATATCTATTTATTCATGTTCTTAATCTAGCTGCTGTTTTGTCACTCAATACTTTTCTCCCTCAGAATTTCCCAGAGTCAGGAATAAGAGTTCAAAAAACCATTAATTATGGCAGGATTAGTATTTAGAAATGAGTTAAAATTAAGTGACCCAAAAATTGCTGTAGCAGTTGGTGCCTACCTGCTATACCTGACCCTCAAGAGGTTTACGTGACGTTGATCTCTCAGTGACTTTCTTCAACATTCCTTGTCCCCAAATCAACTTTCTTGATGCTTTTGTAACTTCTTCCTTGCTTTTTGACCTGGTGACTTTGCCTTTATGCCTAAATGATTTCTGAAACAAAGGAAAAGAAATCTCTGATTCTTGAAAGCACTTATGAGTAACTGATAATCAAGATGCTCTCTTCTTCAGCCTATGGGAAGGAGGAAAACTGAACTTGTAAAGGAGGCCAAAGCATACCTCACACCAAGGAAGTCCCGTGTGGTAAAGGAGTTGGAACCACTAGCTTAGCACTATCTTACAATGTTAGATTCAGTTGGTAATGAGCAGTTGTCTTTGACTCTAAAGGAAAAAGCTACCTAAGTAGGTTGAGAGCCTACAACTTAACATTACCTAGAATTAACCCCACTTAGCAGGAACTCTGATTAATGAATGAAGTTAAAATGTAAACCGTGGCCAAAGTGGTTGTAGATTGATTATCTGAGGATTGTTACTTACATGGGCATATCTCCTCTTTGCCACAGAGCTGGTAACAGAGAGCAAGCTGTTTGCGCCAGAGATCTAGGGCAGTGTTCCTCCAACACTCTGGTAAATGACTAGCTCTTGTTTTTGTTTAATTTCCATTCCATTGCAGACCAATATATTTTAAAAAATTAAATACTAAGAAAATGAAGAGAAAAAATACTAAATATAAACTCATGTAGTGTTAATATTTTTTAAGATTTTATTTATTTATTTGACAGAGATAACAGTTAGGCAGGGAGGCAGGTGTGGGGGTGGGGGTAAGGTAGCAGGCTCCCTGCTGAGCAGAGAGCTCAGTGTGGGGCTCAATCCCAGGATCCTGAGATCATGACCTGAGACTAAGGCAGAGGCTTAACCCATTGAGCCACCAGGTACCCGTGTTATTATATTTACTAGACATACTCTTATATGTCTGTTACTCCTCTAATTGTAATATTCATATTCTATGAAATTTTTTGAAGACTTTGTCTCAGTTTCATACTTTCCTTGTTGCAGACCAGTTTGGATTATAATGCCACATTCTTCATGTGTTAAAATAGTATGGACCCATAGGTATGCAGATGAAAGTAGTGCTGCTCTTACTTCAATAAAGAATTCAAGATACTAGTAATGCACGAATCTTCCAGGAACTGTCTGGGACAGGTAGTGTAGTTCAAAATCAGTGTCGCTATTTGAGCAAACTATTTAACATCAAAATCTCTTCTTTTAAATAACCTTATAGGATTGTTGTGAGAATGTAATGAATTAATATGCATGCAAGACTATATTCTAGAATGTAATAAGAACTTTAGAAAATCTTGAGGATTATTCTCCTTACTAATTATGAAAACTTCTTTAAGATTTTCATTTTTGGAATTTTGTTCAAAATTATAATTTTTAAGCCTTTATTTTGGAACAGGCTTCTAATAATGGGTAAACTCCTCCATTTCCCTCTCCAGTTACTAGAAACTTCTCAACAGGTTGGGATCTGAAAGGTCTTGTTTGGCGGTTGGCATTCCTATTCACCATGAATGTTCCATTTTGAGAGACCAAGCCTTCTCCTCTAGTCTCCCTGCCTTATAGTATTTTTATTTGTATTTACCTTTCTTTTCTTCATTTATTTTCATTTTAAGCCTTGTTTTGTTTTTCATGTGTTAAAAAGTTTTGTTTTGTGTCTAACCATGATAACTGACTCATTCAGTAATAGATATCTTTAGGGCTTTGAGTTACCAACAAATCAGACAATTGTGTCTGAAGAACAGATTTGTTCAGTTAGTACCCTCTTTTCTGACAATTGGTTCTTTTTGAAATAAATGTGACAAAGTTGCATTTTTCAGGGCTTTTGCATTGGATGTTAAAGTTTTATTCTCTTCAGGTAGTGTAACAGATGTTAATGTTGTGCCTGTTGGGAATTTCATTTCTAAATTCAAGCATTTTACACTTTGCATTCTAATTACCCATGTCTGGAAAGCAATCAGTAATTTTGCCTTTCCTCAGATTATTTTTTTTTTTTTAAGATTTTATTTATTTTATAGAGAGAGACACAGTGAGAGATGGAACACAAGCAGGGGGAGTGGGAGAGGGAGAAGCAGGCTTCCTGCTGAGCAAGAAGCCCCATGTGGGGCTCCATCCCAGGACCCTGGGATCATGACCTGAGCCGAAGGCAGACGCTTAATGACTGAGCCACCCAAGCACCCCAGATTGTTGTTTCATAAGGTTATTGTTTCAATAAGTATCTTTGCTAGCTAAAAGTATTTAGATCAGACAAAATCTGATTGAATATTTTCCTGAAAAACTTTCTTTTCCCTAGGATATTCTATGGGTAAGTGTTACTGAAACTTACCTGTTTAATAATACTAATAATAGTTATTGCTTATTGAGCGCCTTCTGTGTAGTGCCAGGCACTGATGTGCATTGTCTTATTTAATCTTTAGGAGACTGAGGTAGATACTG